TGAAAGCTGTGAGGGGGAATCTGTTCCATGCCTGTCCCGTAGCGTCTGTGGGTTTGCCTGCCATCTTTGGCCTTCCTTGGCTTATAGAATCTCCCCCTTCATCTTCACCTGGCGTTCCCCACTGGGTACATGTCGCTGTCCAAATTTCCCTTTCTTATAAGGACACCAGTCCTATCAGATTAGGGGCCCATCCTACTCCAGTATGACCTCATCCTAATGTAACTAATACTGTCTACTATTTCCAAGTAAGGTCACCTTCACCGGTAGTGGGGTTTAGGACTTCAACATGTGAATTTTGGTTGGACAGGATGCAATCTGTAGCAGGAGCAAAGGCTGGTGCAGGAATGAATTGATTGGAGAAGTTCAGTTGGACAGGGATCCCCAGGTTTGGGGGAAGAGTGTGAGCAGCTAACCCTGGAGACCCGTGCACACTCAGGACCTAGAACATGTCATCAGATGGAGAAGACAGATTAGTGGGAGCGCTTAAAGGAGAATGGTCGGACTAAATGCATGGATGAGTGTTTGAGGGGACCTCCCCCAATGTCTACATCCATTGCCTTCCAAGTAGGCAGGGGGTCCCCACTCTGCTCACCGTGGTGCGCCATTTGAGCCCTGAGTGCCCGAGAACAGCTGAAAGGCTGGGTGTGTGCACCCACAGCCCTCCCTCACCCCGTGCTCCACTTGCCGCAGCCTCTCTTGGAAGGAAGGTCTGGAACGCTGGCCCAGGGAACACAAGTGTTTGGATGTCAGCCTGAGGGGAACAGGCTTCTCCGTGGTATGTAGGTTGGGGGTGGAAAGGTGGTCTCGGAACTGTGCCTGGAGCTTGTCTGGTTTCTCTCACTGGACCCCTCCCATGGCTGGGTGTCCCCATGTGCACCCTTCCCTGCCCCTGCCTCGCCCCTGCCCCGGCTCTGTCAGTGCTCGGATATCCCCGGACCTGGGCCCAGCAGCTCCTTAGCCAGAGGCCTCCACAACGCCATGGATGGCTGTTGAATCCAGTAGGCTCTATCTGCTCCCTATGACCCTGGGTCCCAGGCCTGGGGACTCTCAAGGAGACCTCTGCAGTGCCTCAGGGGAGGACAGTCCCTCACCCTCCCCTCCTCCCCGGGAAGCTCCCATGACAACAGCTTTTCATTTGCCCCAAATGAAAGTCCCATAGGTGAACCCTGGGGACGAATCCACTTCCCTTCCTCCCCGCCCCCCATGAGGTTCTTCTGGGGGGAATGTTACCACCCAACCCTTCTTGGAGAAATAGGGTGAGTCACTAGTGAGTCAGGAGTGGGGACAGGCGAGGGAGCACGTGGCACTGGCAGTTCTGCCCATTAATCCCACTGAAAAGGCTTCCCAGCTGGCAGGCATTTCCGCTCTGATCTGTGGGGAAGGTGCAGGCACCTTCTCCGAGAGCCCTTTTCTGCCCAGCTCCTTCTGTGGCCTCCTTCTGGGAGGACCCTCCGTGGGACCCCCTAGCGCTTGCAGACTCTTGATGGCCCTGGTGAGGTCATAGCTCCTCAGAAGATGACATGGGTCCCAACTCCCTCTTAGATGGTTTTGCGGGACCAGAAAGGTGGTGCTGTTGCTCTGAATGGGCGCCCCATCACCTGCCCCTGCCCTGGCCCACTCGGGGACACTCTGGGCAGCCCCAAGAGAAGCGTCACATCCCGCCTCGGGGCCCTTGCAGGCGCTGGTGTCTCCTGGACCATCCTTCCTCCGGATCCAGCTGCTGCCTCATCACCCACTTTCTGTCCTGCTCTGTGTCACCTTCTAGAGACACCCTGACCCCAAACTCCTTACCCTGTCACCGCCCTTTATTTATTCCACAACACTTTTCACCCTGCAAAACACTGCACATTGTCACCTTTTAGCGTATTGTCGTCTCCGGCTCCCTCTGGTCGAGATCAGGGTCCCTGGGGCAGGGCTTTTGTTTTCACTTTGTTCACTGTTGAACCCTAGCCCCCAGCCTGGCAGGGCTGTTCCGTAAACATAGGATAACATACATGTTTGGAGTCTATGTATGTATGTAATAAAATAAAAATAGCGTGAAGACAGAGGAAAGGTCTCCTCAGTCAGCTGTGAGGTACAACACAAGCGATTTGCTGGTTAATAATGGAAAAGCGGTTATCCGTTTCATTTCACAAACTTGGTGTCAAGGAGTTCATTTCCTTTTTTTTTGCCTTTAATTAAACCTTATCTGGGGGCACCTGGAGGGCTCAGCTGCCTGAGCGTCCGACTTCAGCTCGGGTCATGATCTCCCCAGTCGTGAGTTTGAGCTCCGCACTGGGCTCCCTGCGGTCAGCACAGAGCCCGCTTCAGATCCTCTGTCTGCCTCTCTCTGGCCCTTCCCCACTCACATTCCCTCTCTCAAAAATGAATAAACATTTATTTTAAAAAAAACAAAACACCCACCTTATCCACCAGCTGATAGGAAAGTGAGTCTGTCATCATTGAGGTGACTTCCTTTTACCCCCCACCCCCACCCCCAGGTTTGTGTGGAAGAAACAGTTGGGGGCTCCCTAGCCACCCCAGCCTTGGTCAGTCTGCTCACTGCTTTCTGGTGGCTTTTGGAGCCCTAGGTCCAGCTTCCTGGGGTGCCCCAAGTGGTGGCATTCTGAGGCCCTGCTGTCTGTTTAGAGGGGGACGTGGTGGGGGAAGCCCTGATCACCATAGCAGGACTTGAGGCGTCTTCTGCTCAGCCACCGCTCCTAGACCCGCGGGACCCCCTCCCCTCCTGGCGCCCAGCCCAGTTTCTTCGGGGGAGCCGGGAAGCTTTCAGCCCCCACCCACAACCCACATGGTCCTAAGGTAAGAGGATAAAAAAGCCCAGCTCCCTTCTTGGAGCGGGGGAGGGAATAAATAATTCAATAGATTATCCTCCCACGAAAGTTACACACCGATGTTTTCTGAATGACTTTCTTCTTTTATGATTTTTTTTCACGTAGAGCCAACTCAAGGTTACCCTTGCAATAATAGCAGGTCAGGCATTCTTCCTGCACGCTCTGTCAGTGGCCGAGTGGGCGGGAAGGGGGGCGTCAGAGGCTCTGGAAGGGCGCTCGCCTGGGCTTCCTGGTGGGGGGGTGCTGTTGCCTTGGTGAACTTCTGCACTGTGCATGAGACAAAAAAAAGGCTGAGGGGGCTGACCCAGCCCGCAGGACGGACGACCCTAAGGTGTGCTGTGTGCGGCTGGCTCCGGGACGGGATCCAGAACGTCGGTGGCACAGGAACTAGACTGAGAGTCGGGACTCCTGATTTCCGGGTCTAGCTTTGCCACCAGCTGACTGAGGTGATTTCTCACACAGTGCCTCAGTTTCCTCAGCTGTGATGGGTGATGCACACTGTCTCCCTTAGTGGACAGGGGTTTCTGTGGGAAAGGGAGGGGTCCCCCAGCCTGCGCCTAGCATACAACATGGCGTATTCGGTTTGCACAGTGTTTCCATTTTGAATTCATGGCTGGCCCTTAAATATTGTGGCCACCTAGACTCCCAAGGAGGGGGCAGGGTGGGCATTGAGGTGACAGCTTAACTCTGTGATACTCTGGCCCAGAGCTCTGGAGGCATCTGAGACAGCTCTCCTCACCAGAAAGATGGGAACAGAGAGTTCTGAAGATTTGCCCAAGGTCACCCGGCTCATTAGTGGCCGATGCAGGTTGACCAGACAGCAGCTCTGAAAACCATCACTGTCCTGTTCCTGTAGCTTAGAGGCTATTTATTCTAAGCGTTCTATTAAAATTTTCGTTTCTTCTTTCATTTATCTCTTTCCCCCCGAGTTTCCTCCTTTTTTTTTTTTTTTAACTGTTTGTTTTGTTCTCTGACTTTGAAGTTAAAGCTTTTCGCGCACTGCCTGTTCATATTTAAGGGCAAGCCAGTCTCCAGAAGGTTCACTGGAGCCCTGTGTGGGCATGCCCAGAAGGTGGGCATTGTCTTCGGATAGTGGTTCCCCTCTGGGAGGATTTTGGCCCCCACAGGGTGGACACTTGGCAGTGCTGGAGACAATTTTGATCATCCCCACATGAGGGTGGGGGTCAGGTGCTCCTGGAATCTAGAGGGCAGAGACTGGGGGTGCAGCTCGGCACCCCACACTGCGCAGGGCAGTCTCACAACACAGACTGACTCAGCCCCAAATGGCAGCAGCACCACGTTGAGAAGCCCTGTGCTGGGGCGATTGGGTGACAGGAGCCCGATTTCCCCATGCCCCCCCTCTTTTTGACCTGGTCTGGTGCCCTCCCCACCAGACCCACCTCCCCAAACCCACCCTGGCCACCGGTGGGGCAGGGTGTGGGCGGGTGGGTTTCAGATCAGTGTGTCCGTGAATCCGCAGAACTTCTGTGGGTCAGGTCCCTGCAGCGCAGCCTCCTGACATCTTTGGGGCGAGCAGGCCGAGAGCCCACAGCGTCCAGCTGCTCCCATACAAATCTAGAACAGTCCTCGCCTTTCAGCCCCACTCTGCGCTCCTGCCTTCAGGGGCCCCGGACCCCCAGTTTAAGCGCCTTCTTGAGTTGTGCACAGGGAATAGATGTGCTCCTCATAAACAGTCGGGGCTTCACCTTCTCAGGTCTGAGGGAATTAGTTACCCATCTGCTTTTCATCTTCCACCGCGTTGTCACTGACCCCTTTTATCACGTCTCCATGCTCACGTCATTATCTATTCCTTTGCTATCATTTCAGTCAGGGTTGGGGAGGCAGCAGAAGTAACCAGGTGTGTGGACCAGGAGGTGTATCCTATGCATGGGAGAGCCGGATGTCATTAAAAGCTTTGCAGTGTTCCTCCCCACCCCCCCACCCCCCCAGAGGACAGCAAAGTGCCGGCGAGCAAGAGCTCTTCTGGTAGACGTCTCTAGAGGTGGTGGGGGTGGAGGGATGCACCACATAGGAGGTAGGAGAGCTCCGTGACCTTGACCGCGCCAAGCCTCAGTTTCCCTGTGTAACCTCAGCTCTGGCGGCTCTGTGGTAGATGGGTTTAACCCAGCGTGTGAGCCTTGAGTACCGACTGCCTCGTTTTCTTGCCAGAAGCCTCCAGTTTGGCTGGCAGAGTGGCGACCAGCTGGCCAATTGGACGGGGCTCTTTAATGTCACGGACGACCCAGCAGTGCAGAGCGGCAGTGACTCCAGCTCCAGGTACAGATCCCCCGGTGAAGGACCAGGGTGGGGGGAAGCCCATCCTGAGGTCACCTCACAGCTCCTGCCCCATGGCCCACCCCAGAGCTACCCTCAGGGAAGAAGCAGGCTCCAAGCTTCCTGTGTCTCTGCCTTGTCTCCTTTGATATGAGGGGTGAGGACTAGACTCAACCACAACAAAGTTGGGACTCACTGGCCCCTCTTTGTCGGGGTGGGGGGGGAGCCTGAAGGGGGGTGGAGTCTGGGCTTCAAGCTTTCGTTTGAGGTGGGGGCTTTGCTCCCTCCTTGCCACAAGGATTTCGGATGTCAGCCTGCAAGAGCGTGCAGGTGTGTGGGTGGCATCGGGCTGGGTGTGGGCTCTGCTCCTCTGACACCCCGCTGGGCAGGGGGTCCCTACTCTGCCCATCGGTGGGGCTGACCTTGGCTGGGGCTGACCTTGGCTGGTGAAGAGCCGTTCCCAGCAAGATGGTGCTGGCATTTGACATTCATACCATCACGTGGATATTTTTTTTGCTCTGCTGCCGTGGTTGGAGTTCAATCAGGAATGAAGGGCACTCTGTGTATTCTGAGTTCAGTGTTTGTTGAATGAAGGAAAATACAATATTCTCGGGTGGGGCACACTCATTGCAGGGAAGGCATTGTGGGGAACTCTTTCAGACAGGTGGAACTCTCCCTGCAGAGCTGGGTGTGGCTGGAACTCCCCAGCTAAGGGATTCCAGGGGCCAATTAAGTTGTTAGGTCCCTTAATTTTTGCATTTCTAAGTACGTGCTAGCTCTCAGGTCCATGTACCCGGGAAAGAGGCCTGAGTTTTTGTTGCTGTTCATTTTGACATCAGAACATTAAATTGACCCCACAGAGAGGAAGTAGTGTGTTTTTTAAGGACCCCCAATATGTATGTGATTTGGCTCGATGATTTGAAAAAGTTAAGATGCTCCAGTGTCGGAAAAACTTCTGTCGGGGCAGTGTCCACACAAAGGCCTTAAGGCGTGGGGTAGCCTGGGGACCTGGTCTTATTCTGGCCTTTAGGAGTACGGTTCTTTCCATATGTGAGTGGTGGGAGCCCTGGCCAGCTGCTGGGTCCCTGGGCTGTCACCTGGTGAGGGGAAGGGGGGGGGGTCCAAATGCTTGACCTTCCCAAGCATTGAGCCTCTAGTGTTGGTCTTTCCGCTGCGTGACTCGCCCACCTGCATGGGGGGCCGTCTAGGTAAGTCCGCAGGTGTCTGCCTTCTTGGGGAGGACTCTGAAGAACTCTCGAGACAGGTTTGGCTGGAAGATGCTAATCATCTGAGCAAGAGGGCCCACGCCCTTCGTGCCACTTCTGGAGGAGATGCCTGCAAGAGCTCTCCTTCCACCTTTTCCTGTTGCTAACAGCCTTTCTCACTCCTCCTCTTTCTGCATTTTGTTGCTAATATCTCTGCCTCCCTGCCCCATCTCCTCTTCCCCCCCTTTCTTCCCCGACACACTTTTTGGTCCCCATTTCCTGCTTCCCTCCCATCTCCTTTCTTAACTACTCCGCCTCCAAGTGACCCAGGCCAGGATCCCCCGAAGTCAGGGCCGCTGCTGGCGTCTATCCACTTGGCTTTGGAACTAAGTCACCCTTTGTTCCACATCCTCCCCAGCGGAGTTGATTTCCTCCTGGAGGGCTGCCATTGACACAGAGCCCCCTTGCTCATGGAATAATCATGATGGGTCAATTCCAGTGTCAGATCCCGGTTTCTGCTTGACCTCGCAAAGTACTTGCTACGCATGTGAGAAACCACGGTACATAGAGTTCCCATGTGTCGGAAATAACGGTGAATGTACTTAGAACCAAACTGTATGCTTCTGCCCTCCTTAAAACGGGTAGGACAGCATGGGCAGTGGATTTGCAGGGCTTGGCGAGGGGGCTCTTGCTGCTCTGGAAAGCGCTCTTTAGGGTGAAAGCTCGTCATCGTCATCGCAGTGAGCAGCCCTCCATGCCTGGAATATGCGCGGTGTCTCGTGATATTATTCACCTAGTGAATAATTCAGTGCGTGTGCCATATTTTGCTAGCCATAGCGGTGTGGTGTGTCGAAGTGTGGTAAACTGTGTTATTTATTATTAAAACGGTTGGAAGGGAAGTCAGGAGTTACCACATATAACCAGAAGACAAGAAGAGGCAAAAAAAAAAAAAAAAAGTGCAAATGACTCATAAATTGTATATTCAACCAGGAGCTCCAGGAGAAGGAGCAGGTCCAAGTGATTGGTCTGGAAAGCTCCAAATAAGACCACAAAGAAAATCCAGGCCAGATAGAGCTGCTAATGGCTGTGGTCAGGTCTTCTCATTGGACATGAGCTAGGGGAAGGCTGGGCCAAATTGGAAAGTGTGTGAGTTATAAAATATACATCGACATATAGCCTTCTTAATTCAAGCACAGGCCTAAAGGTGTCCAATAAGAGTCCTTAAGGGAACTGCTTTAGGGAGCCAATAGGAATAATTTTTAATCACCAAATGCTGCTATTTAAGTGTGTGCTTTGAACAAGCAGGAAGATCTTAGAATCTTAGAAGACTGCTCAGCACGTACGAGTTAGTGTCTGTTTCTTTCTGTCTCTCGCACTAGACAGTGATTGTGCTTCCCCACCTCTGAATTCCCAGCATGCAGTGTGGCACCTGGCACGTAGAAGGGGCTCAGTAAATGTTAATTGAATTCAAAAATGAATTAAGCAGGCACATAGTAAAGGCTATTGGTCAAAAAGCAAACTTAAATGTCAGTGTTGCTGAATTCTCTTTTAGAGATATATTCCTTGGCATCAATCTGTCTCTGGCACTGTCTTTGAAAATTCATCCCCAAAGGGGAAGCACGTTGAATCACAAACTCATTCAGTTTGAAATGATGGGAGAATGTTCTCTTGAGAAGAGCAGGTAGTAGAGTTCTGGGCAGCCGGGTGGGAAAAGGGAGCCTGTGGGTGGGGAGGGATGGCTGGGGAGTAGAGAGAAGGCGGCGAAGGCAGATTATGTACTTCTGCAAGGAGGCCTCCCAGACACCTCCCACAGAGCATCATGGCAAGTCTGGAGCGGGGATGACAGTGTGGGGAAAGTTCTTATCCTTCATGGCCAGCTCCATGCTTTGAGCCCCCTGGCCTGGCCCAGCTGCCTGCCTTCCCGGTGACGGCCCAGAGGGCCAGGGGAGGCAGCAGTTCCCTTGGCTGTCACGGTCCTGCATGGTGGGTAGTGTGGCGTCCGCTGCCTCCGCATGTCCCAGGGAAAGGACCGCGTCAGAGGGGCTGAGGGGGTGAGGGCTGCTGGGGCAGGAGTCCTCCCAGTGCTGACTCTCGGCCAGGCCTGCAGCCACAGCACAAAGGGCTTCACTCAGCTTCTGCCAGCTGGACCCCTGCTCCACATCAATGCGTTATCATCCTGCCAGTGTCCACTTCCCACCCCACCTCCTCTTTGAAGCCTTCCTGGATAGCCTCTCTCTATTCTATAAGAAGTGTCTGCACAGAGGGCTGTTTCTAACATCTCACACACGGAGAACTCTCCAGCAAGTGCACGTTCCCTTTTTTGTTTGTCCAGGCATTCATTCCGCAATCCCGAGACCTGGGCTGGACTGCCTGTGCGTGCATCTCCAGGGCCCTCCAGCCCCTCCAGCCTCGGACACGGCCCCCTGGTGGCCTGACTGGTGGGCCTCACAGCCCTTCTCCCACATTCTGCACTGCCTCTGCCCTCCTGGTCTGGGTGATACGGTGAGAGGCGGTGTGCAAAGATGACTCCAGAAACTCTTCTCCCTGATGTCTAGAGCAGAGCTGACCCCAGGCCATGGCCCACCCGAGCTGCCCGCTCCTGGGACAGCAATCTCTCCCTGCTGCCGGGCTTTCAGCTCGGGATGCAGGGGACTTCCCAAGTCGGGGGCGGGGTGACGCACCAGCCATGGGAGAAAAGGGCAAGCCCCGAACTGATGCGACAGAGACTGTTCCACAGAGAGTGAGCTGGCTGAGTGTTCAGGGCGCCGGGCCAGAGCCCTTCATTCTGGGGTGAGGTCTGTGTGCGTGTCTAGCACGTACTGTGCGGCACAGGATTAGGGACGGTCATATTTCAGAGCTGGAATTCAATTTAGCGTTTTATTACGCTGTATTCGGTTGTCCCCTAATTGTTTCAAGGCAGCGTGTAATTAGGTAATAAATTTGCGTGGCACGGACGGCGAGTGCGCCAAGAGCTCCGTGTGGAAGTCAGAGGGGGGAGGATCTGGCCGGGATCCTGACAGGTGACGCCCACGGCCGAGTGCGGTTGACGGCGTGCCCGGCCCTCCTGCGTTTCCTCCCCACCCTCCACTGTTTGAGGCAGGTCTTGTCATTGCCCTCATTTTACAGGTGAGGAAACTGAGTCCCTGCTTGCAAGTGGTGGGGGAAGGAGCTGGCCCATGCCACGTGCCATGGGATTCCAGACTCCCCGGCGGACAGGCCGTGCTAGACTGAGGGATTTTCTTCCTGGACTGTGGACAGGTCAACCCGAGTAGGGTTGGGTGTTTGGGTACATCTTTAGGGTCTCTCAGCTCCCGACCCCCCATCTCTTTGCCTCCTTTTATCATCTGTGTATTTCTCCCACCGCCTTGTGGTTGGTGCTTTCTTGACTGTTACCCAAAGGTTTCCTTCTACCTGCTCTTGGAGGCTCTGCATTTCAAAGAGGAGCCCTTGAGGGCAGGGTTACCCCAGGGAAAGAATGTTCCTTGCTCTGCTTGCCCTGCACACCTGACTTGTGGGTGGAGGCTGGCTTAGTACCAGCCTTTCTGGTCAACTTTTAAGTCTGTGGGAAAGGACAAAAAATAAATAAAAAGAGGGATGGCGTTCTCTCGGGCTCCATCCAGCTGGGAAGAATTTGGAGAATCAGGTTTGGCGGAATGTTCTGGGCTGGGTGCTGGAAAAGCAAAACAAGATGGCACAGCTTCTGCATCTCCTCCCACGTACCCGACGTGGGGCTCTGGTGGCCACCGGGCAGGCGGCTGTCTGTGGAGGTCAGGTCGTTGGTGTCCTGGGACTCATCGA